TGCGTACAAAATAAAATTTTCAGATGGAGCACCTGACACAGGACACATGGCGGCGGTTGGGCGTACCAGTTGACATGCTCGGTTGCCCTGCATGGGGTGACTGTTAGTTAGTTACTCCCACATGTATCACCTACTTTGAGGCAAAAACCCGGCTCGTCTCTAGTGCGGGTGCTACTGGGCCGCTAGCATTGTAGTTGTGAAATCTTTATGGCCGTGCTACGTGTCGACCGGCGGATTTTTTTAGAAGATCCACCGCCTCGACAGCCGTTAGATCCGGCATTATCAAACGACCTAGCTTCATCCTCACTATTGCAACAAACACAATATTGCAGAAATCTTTGCAACAGAGCTCATGTTGCAGAAACATTTGTAATAGATTTTTTTTCCAGCTTCATCTTTTCGCAACAGAGATGATGTTGCAGAAAGAACTTTTGCAACATGGATGATGTTGCAGGGTTGTTTGCAATGAAAGGATGCTGTAGCGCACCATCGTCGTTGCCGTCGGCGTTTTCCAACTCCGTCGTTGTTGCAGAAACTTTTCGGTGTGCATCCGCACGGCCTGGCGGGCATGGACAGCTTTCATTGCGCGAGACCGACCTGATGGTGTTGTGGCGCTGGTCCTGCACCCGCTTCGCCACCGCCGGCGGGAGCTTCGGCTGGCATCACGCCGCGGCGTAGGCAACATGACTATTCCCGTCGGCACCTGGGTGGCTCCGGCAACGACCGCCCGGGCCCGACCGCCCTAGTCGCCCCGCCATGGTCAGGGAGGCCACCGTCGGTGGAGACTGTGTTGTCGTCGTTGCCCTTCCTCACGCATGTGGTTCCTTCCTGGTGGGTCTGCAACAAACCGCTTTGAAGAAGAATAGTGGAGATAAGGATGAATGGAGATGCGGTGGCACGGGCCCATGAAGACATGTGGCAGACGTAAGACCCGACGGATGTTAGAGAAAGATCGATCAGTTGATCACCAGCTTTTCCCAATCTTTATTCCCTTTATGGTTTTTATCAGTTCTCACAATTTGCAGCGGTTTCCTCTGTTTTTCTCATGTTTTCTTCAGTTTTTTTCTTTTTTTTTCTTTTTTTTTTCTTACCGGTTTTCTTCGCTTCCTATTTTATTTTGTTCTTTGATTATATGCCTACATATTTTGTGTACACATCGTACATTTTTCGTACAAAATAGGAACATTTTATACACATTTAAGATGTTTCTAATAATTAGGTACAATTTTAAAATAAATGTTTTGATGTATATTTTTCATACACATTGTACATTTTTATAGCTATTTAGTATTTTTTTTAAAATACATGATTAATAATTTCTCAAATACATGATAAAACTGTTTTCAAATACACGTCGTGAAGCATTTTTTTGAAATATACAAAACAATTTTAAAACTATGCGAACATTTTTTTACATTGTATAAAATATTAAAGGGTCAGCGACATATTTTTAAAATGTAAATTACATTTTTAAATGGTCCAAAGTATATTTTTTGAATTACACAAACATTGTATAACATTTTTAGAAAATTGACATAATTTTTGAAAAAGCGTGTATATTTTTAAAATGTCATGATTATTTCTTAAATGCTATCAACATTTTTTGAATAACACTATCTTAACATTTCCAAATTTGCAGTGAATATTTTCAAAAAAACTTAAGGTAAAAAAAATAAAAAACCTGGATTCTCCATTTAATTCGGAAAAAGTAAGTAAATTAAGTTTTTAGGAATATATGTATTTTGTAATATTTTCGAATATACAAAAACAGAAAACAAAAAAAGGAACAACAAAATATGTACGTCAAGTCGGGCCGGGCATCCTTAAGCTGAGGGCATCATTCGTCTAGCGCAAAGCGAGACATAGGCCCACCCGATCGAAACCGTGCAAGTGGGATGTGCCATTAGCTGGCTGGTTCCTTGATGTTTTCTGGTGCAGGCTTAGCAGATAACCAAATTGCAGTCCACTCTTGAGAAAAGTAACCAGCAACAAATCGACTGGATGTAACATAACATATACTGTACTTTTCAACCTACCCTACAATCTGTGTCATCACACTTGCCACAAGACAAAAACGACATCATCTTCCATCTATTAATTACCAAGCCCTTAATTAACGACGGCAAACAGGATAGCACAATGCTCTAGTACAAACATAATGTACATTAGCAGCCTTTCTATACTTACAATCACCCCTGAGATAATTCACACGAAAATCGATCGACCTCCTGCGTTCAAGCTCATCATCTTGTTGTTGGGACCTGATTTTCGTCAATGACGTACCCTACGGGGCCTCCGCGGCCGACTGACGCCCTGCGCGAAAGCGAAGGAGGCCTTGTCAGCTCCACATTTGCCGGCACAGGGGTTTCATCAGAGTGGCCAGAGACGCAGAGCGTTCCGCTGTCATCCTGGTCCCAGAACACCTCCACCATGACTCCCCTCGGGTGCTCCTCCGTCTCTGTTCCAGGAATGCCCACGAAACGCGCCCCCTTGGGTATCTGCATTCACAAAGTTGGCGAATTCAGAGAGATGTTCACAATGGGCTGAATAAAGACTAGAGGGATCTCCACCATATGATACTGGATGTCAGCTATCTGTATCTCAGACAAGTTATCTTTCATGTTCACAGGTGCAGTTATGTTCCTAGGATTAGTGAGGGCAAACCTGAATTGATGCTCCAGATGATAGGTTTAGAGTCACTAGTGTCCCTTCGGCGGTAGAGCTCTCCAACTCGGCTTGCTTTGCAATGTTCAGGAAGACTTCTTCAAGTGTCGTGAGACCAAGCTGAATGTCTGATATCCCGAATTCCCTTTCCCTGTCTTGGAGTTCCCCGAAGAACCTCTGTTGATAAAAAGTACTCTTGTGTCATAAACTCAGTTAATGATGTGCGACATAATTTGAGTGTCAAGTTCAAGGTATTACCGTCAGAAGTGGTTCTTTCTCATGGGGGATGACAAACGTTAAGAATGTCCTGCTTTCCTCTTTCGGGTCCACATCAAGCCTCTGTTTCAGAAACATTTTTTGCGGTTTAACATTTCCGCATAATAAGAGAAACGAATCTGAATGACATTTAGTTTAAGGATGAGACACATACTTCCTTGAAGAACGATTTGACAGATTCTATGTTAGGATTAACTGTGGCCTCTGCATCACCGTTGATGTTAGGGCTCTGTGTGTGACCATTTCCTGAGAAATTCACATTAGCGATGTACCCAGTTCCAAATTTCGACTTCAGCCTTATTGAAGTGCCGATACACCGCAATCTCCCCTTTGCCATGATAGCGATTCTGTCACTTAAGATGTCAGCTTCCTCCATTGAATGTGTGGTCAATACAATGGCTCTTCCCTTCTTTGCCTCCTCGATGATGTCCCAGACATGCCTCCTTGTTATTGGATCCATGCCAGTTGTCTGTGTAGGATATAAATGGTTAGATTAACATGTTGCATTTTATGTGTAGCAAGTGAACCGATGAAAATCTGACAGGTCTCTACCGGCTCATCAAGAAACACCAATTTTGGGTCACCAATTAGAGCAATCGCAACACTTAACCGCCGTTTCATTCCACCACTGTAGCTACCTGCTCTAACATTAGCTGCCTGGCTGAGCTTCACTTGGGCTAGTGACTGTTCTGCTACCTGCATTGGATGAACAGAGAAAGATTAATATGCAAAACAATGGAGAGTGTTGGGGAGTAGTTGTCTATAGGTTCTTAAGAAACATACCGACTTGATTGTTGATGATGGCAACCCCTTGATGCTGGCAAACAACTCCATGTGCTCCTTAGCCGTCAATGCATCCCATAGGATGTCAAACTGCAAAGCAAACATATTTATCTTCCATTAAAACTGGACAGCGCCTGCATGATAATATGTGAATGAATGTTCAAAAGACCAACCTGCGGACAGACTCCAATCATTCTGCGAATATTAGACATACCCGCAGAGCTTCGAACGGAATGACCATAAATCAAAGCTGTCACATGTTCAAAGTGGCTTGTTAGCATATTCATAGTTACTGATAACATATCATATCACCAACCATTGCTGCAGGGAATGACACTGACCATCGCCGCCGGTAATTGGTGTGATACCAGTCAGGCAACTGATTGTAGTTGTTTTACCAGCTCCATTTGGGCCAAGAAGACAAAATAGCTGGTCCTTCTCAAGGTTAACCCATAAGCCCTGGTGAGATTTATTAGGTGGTTAAGATCATAGGAACCAAAGCTTGCTTGCTTTTAGTACTAGACTAGAAGATCACTGAGAGCTCACTTTAACAGAATGGAATGGCTTAGTTGTTTTGCACTTGCAGCAACCCATATTAAAACTTCCTGGATAGGTTTTCCGCAAGCCGCGTATTTGAACCGCAACACCAGGATCTACCTCATTGCCTGCAGCTTGTTCTTTTACTAGATTTTCCTCAGTAAGAACATCCTCATCAGTAGGGCTAGCATCATCAGCCGGCCGGTTCGAACCAAAACAGCTACAAAGACCTCCCTCTGGAGTGGATCAATCAGATTAATGAGTAACGTTACATAATACAGCTAAAAACATGGTGAAGAACTACTGCACACTTAAATAAACTCTGACCTCGCATCTTGCCTCCTTTCCCTGTCCAGTATGAAGGCGTCAGAAAGTAAAACACTGACTTTCTAACACCATTGACATTTGGAATTATGTTGTCGAAGTAGATCGCCAGGATAAACCACAAGAAAAATGTGGAGATGAGCCATATGTAGATGTCATTCTGTCAGATGTTTGCAAACAATCAGGGCTTCAAGTTGCATGAGCATTAGAAGTACATAACTGCTAATGAGCAAAGTTTTGTACATACTACTGTAATGACGCAGTCTGTCTCAAAGGATTGGCACGTTGAACGCTGATTCCAGCTAATGCCCTTGTCTTCTGGAGTTGCTGTTGCCTTACCTAGAATACTAAGGGCTTGGGCAAAAACATTAGGGGGAAAGAAGGACCATATTGTCCGGTAGTACGCCTCATAGGTATTTGAATATGGGAACCCGAAGGTTGTAACAAGCTGCACAAGCAGGTAACCAAGAGGTTTGTTTATTTTCTGACAACTTCAAAAACTGTATCTGTAAGATGGTGATTAGGCAAACTTTACCTGTGTCAAGAACCCAATGATGAATATTGCAAATCCAACTGTAGTAGCTGATGCTGCTTTTGCCACAAATGTGGATATCATGAAAGCAAAACCAAGCTGCAGAAATTATAATGAACAAGACTGTTCAGGAAAAAAACAGTGTTTGCAGATTCTGATAGAGATTCAGAAAATGTATAAACAAAATCCATTCATAGAAGCATGCTATTTATCTAGATTTAACACTCCAAATAGAGACAAGCAAAACAAGCATACAGATCAGTATAACCTTACCATGTTCAGTTGGAAGAGGAAGAATAGGATGAATAAGATTCCAAAGCTATTGTTCAGGAAGAAGTCAAACTGGAACATCATCCCAAAGAGCACCGTGAAAAGTGCTGAAATAAATGTAAGCAAGGCCTCCCAGGTAAGCCATGATAACCAATAAGCCGATTCATAGAGCCCCATGATAGACATAGCCTGTGAATGGTCATGAAGACACATGAAGCCACATAAATATCTAGTCTCGAAAAAAAAGATACACAAATCACAAAACGCAGATGCAGAGACGGAAAAAGCTCAGACCTGACGAAGCTTAAGTTCTTTCTCTGTAACCAAGGCACTGATTTGGAAAACAAATCCAAACATTGCAATGGCAAGGAAGAAAGTTGGCCCTGCTTGGGCAATTGTAGAGAAGGTTTCAGTTGCTGGGTGAGCAAATTCCTTGAATCCCACAGTCCAGCTAAAATTTGGGTCTGTCAATCATGAAATTTACTGTTATTCCCAAGTACTACTATAAAATGGATGCAAATCATATACTGTACAAGCAACACTTATTTATGCTGCATACATTATATAATCTGAAAACTGTTGCCAAAGGATATGAAAAGTGTGGTACTACATACAAATTAGTACGCGTGAAACAAAAACATTCCCTAAAATACCACAGAAGCAGCAATACCTCCAAGAATCAGCCTTGCCATTTCTCTCTCAGCTGCAACTTGAAGCGGTATCTGGAACTTGAAGGTGGGGTCCTCATATGTTCCTCTTCGAGCTACTGGAGTGGAGTTTGTCTGAATACCATACGACATCTGGGTGGCATTTATATCTTGAAAATGCAAAGCGCCAGGGCAGCGCATCGGGTTTGCAAATAGCCAAGCATCAACTTCATCCGGAGTGCTAAAACCTAAGACCTGAAAAAGTCACCATAAGACAATTTAGGTAACATGTATTGTCGCATATCGAGTAATAATCAATTCAAGGGTGACCTGCAAAGTTGTTTTGAGTAACCCTGAAGAAACTCAAGAAACTTTAACTAGTCCACATGCTATACGTTGCAGTTTATCACAAAATCCAAATTTATTCAAGTGACGGTAAACTATTAGTTAAAATTTATTTTATCCTGAATGCCATCCTTAATTTATTCAAGTTGTGTATGAAAAATAATGAAAAGCTTCAGCAGCTGAATTGAAGTATACTACTGTATTTCAGACCACAGTACAGAGGAAAACAGGGCCTGTACATTAGTTGATTTGACCATTACATTCAATTAACAAGAGGTTGTGGTTGCATTTAAAAATGTTTGCAAAGAAAACATATTATTTTTGAAAAATAAACCAACACCACTCTTTGATATCATCGTCTCTTCTGTGCTAAAGCAAGCATATTTTCAGTTAGATTCAAATCTACATTCACACCGTCTAAGTTTCCAAGGAAAGACATTGTGTACTCAGATAAATAAATTAAACTGTGGCACGAAAATGACATCAAAGTCATCTAAGACAAGCCAGAACTGAATTTGGCTGTTCCAGGTAGGACCTGCATGCATCCAAGTAGAAACAAAATAGGCTCTTCTCCCCCAACATTTTCTTAGGAAAAATCGCAAAATTCCGGCATCCAAAGTGGGTGCCCACCGTTTGGTTGGAGTGCGGTGGTAAGCCAAATGGAAGCAAACCACATAGCGACATTGTCAACATCAAACCCAAATGATGATCTAAGTTCAACGTCAAATCAAGAAATCTCCTCAAACAGGCAAGAAGGATATAAATTAAAAAATTGACGTCGCACATAAGCCATTCCTCCACCAAAATCAAGTTTTCACCCAATAAGAAAGTTAAAATCTATCTGTACCGAGCAGTAAAAAACTGAAAACCTTCAGACCTGGGACCAAATCACAATGCTACTACATGAGTCCAAACAGTTCAGTCTGACGACCTCATGGAGCGGTTAAAATCAACTCAGTTCCTCAAAATAATTCAGGCAGTTTTCTCTCGACAAGAACGCACGGAGAATTTCGATCCCCCTCACCGAAAAAACCCCCAAATCGTCACGCTAAACGTGCGAGCAAGCAACTCCGCGGCACGAAGACCGGCCGAACGCACGCCGCGAGATTAATCCACCACGAATAATTGCGCGCAGAGTCAAACCGATGACTGGAAAAACAAAAAAACAGAGGAATCAAATCTCTGACCTTCTCGGCGGGGATCGTCCGGCCGGGGTTGTTCCTGCGGATGGCGTCGACGAGCGCCGAGACGCGGGCGCTGCCGCCGCCGCTCCAGAGGAAGTCGTAGCAGGGGGTCTTGACGAAGAACTTGTCCTCGCAGGGCGGGATGGGCGGCGCGACGAGCGCCTTGGGGTCGCGCACGTTCTGGTAGGCGGTGGTGTAGGAGAAGCGGGAGCGGACGGCGCGGTCGATGCAGAAGATGAGGAAGATGAAGAGGAGGGAGGAGAGCAGCTGCAGCGCCGACGAGCGCCGGTGGCGCCAGGCGAGCGCCGCGTTCTTGCGGAGCAGGGAGCGGTACTGCTGCCACGCCAGCGCCGGCCCGCTCAGGAGCTCCATCGGGGGTGGAGGTGGGGGTGGACTGGGGGCGGAGGAGTTGGAGTTCCCTGGGTCTCCGAGAATGGCTTGGGTATTTATTAGGGGGGCGACTGAAAACGGCCGGAAAACTGGAGGAGAGGCAGCCGCGCCGGACTGTCCTCCTGTCCTAGCTGTGTTCCTCAGTTTTTAACACCGGCCACCGTGGAGGACGGGGCGTCGACCCATTGGTTTGGTTGGACAGCTGAGGTTGCTGTTAACTCATCCGAGTTCGAGTCTTGACACGGATACACGGTGCTCATGGAGTTTCTTTTATAAAAAAACCAACGAGGGTTAGCCTTTGGGTTGGTGTACTCTCTCAGTTTCTTTTTTACTCCGTGTGTATAAGATTTGTGTTAAGTCAAACTTTGCAAATTTATATTTAAAATATCAACATTTACAATACTAGATATATGCAATATGACACTAAATTCCATATTGAATCTAGCAATAGTAATTTGGTACCGTGAATGTTTTTACGTTGATCTATAAGTTTGGTCAAATACTTCCTTCGTTCCATAGTAAGTGTTGTAGTTCTAAACTAAGCTTGAACTAACAATAGTTCAAAACTGCAACGTTTATTTTGGATCAGAGAGAGTACAATTTGTACAGTCCTCTCGTTTCTATTTACTCTGGATTAGTTCTGATATAACTCAAAGTTTATAGAGTTTGATCAAGTTTACAGAACATATTATACCCTTCCACAATAACGAATGCCCCCATCTGTATCAAAATATAGACCTTCTTTTGACACTACCGTAGTGTCAAACATATATGATGTGAAAATATATTCCATGATCATTATAACAGTATTGATTTGATATCGTGGATGTTAACATTTATTTTATATACTTCATCAACGTTTGACTTGAGACAAAGATAATATGCAAAGTAAATAATCCACCCCAAGATATAAGGTGTATTACTTTTTTTTAAGTCAAATATGTGCATGTTTGACCAAGTTTCGAGTACAATACCAAACTTTTATCACTAGATCCACCATGAAAAGTATTTTCATATTTATTTATTTTGTATTGTAGATGCTTATATTTTATTCTAAAATCTTGGTCAAACATGCATAAGTTTGACTTGCGTCAAAACTGACGCACCTTATATTTTGGAACGAAGGGAGTACTATTGGTTGTTATTTAAGATAATCTCATTTATTTACTATTATGGATACTCCATTGTTGCGGGTATAAATTGGATTCTGGGGATTCATGAAGATATCTCTCACAATAAATACATACTATCATACCAAGGCATGCATCATTAAATTAGTACTCTATGTATTACTCTTTGCATTCCTTAATGTAGTGTATATGTTTTTAAGATAAATTTTGTAAATTTGATCCGACGAGTTGGGAGTTGAGTTGCCGGTGTTGGAGGTGGATGATCTAGATGCGATGTCTAGATTAGATCTACTGAAGAGCTATTATACGCTTCTAGCAATTTTGGAGTGAGCATAATTGTTTGATGCCAACATTCGACAAAATCATAAGTTGCCAAAAGTTGGCAACTTTTTGTGAGATTGACAAGAAAATTTGGTAGCCAACCAATCACTAGCCAGCATTTGGCATTTGCCAAATATTGGCATGCCAACTTTTGGCACCAAACCAATTATGCTCTTCCCTTCCCTTCTCTTGTTTGGTTGGGACCCTTATATATGGCTCTTGGTCGGGTCCAGACCCTTATATAGTGCTCTTGGTTGGGGCCATCGTCCTCTGTCTCGATCTTCTTGGCATACAAGCATTAGATTTCTTTGTGTGTAGTAACTGCATGCGTTCTTTAAAGGAAACTAGGGGTGTCACATTTGAGGAATTGGTCATCCAGGCACGACCCTCCCATACCGTGCACAAGCGGGAACATACGACCCACAATATAACATCTGATGCATAGGGAAGTGTTGAACCCACTCCCCCTCGATAAGCC